CCAAGCCAGCAAGCAAGTCTCGATCGGCCGCCCGACTGGAGGGAAAGACTAATGAACGTCACTACAGGAGAGCTCACCCGCGATCAGCATGAGATTCAACTGACTTTGTACGGAAAATTCGATCATCCAGCAATGATATAGGAAGCTGTAGTTCACGTTTCTGCCGAGCCGCGCGCTTGGTGAGGTAGGGCGGAGAACCTGACGGTCGTTGGGCATCTTGGGGCTCCAGCGGGTCTGTCAAAGAAAGAGTGCATTGAGTCAACGGTTAAGGGCGGTTGTTACTAGGGTGATCATCTGGGGGTCTTCCCTTAGGGAGATCTGCTAGTGATAATAAGGCTGTATACTGCTGCTCGGAATTAACAAAACCTCGGCCATCACGAACGGGCTCCCATACACGTGACTCGGTGGGGCTCTGGGAGTCAATCGAGGGGAGAATTCACACCGTAAAATACTTACTTTTCCAGCAACATCGTCACTTTCATTAGGCGATGAGAGACTGTCCAGGATGTCCAGATTGACAACCTGTTGATGAACTATTTTTTTCCGAACGCTTTTAGCAACCTCACCTCAGCAATTGACTGATTTTCAGCGGCCTGGTCTCCTTGCTTTATGATAGCCTCCAAATTCGGGCATTCTGCGGCCCATTCTTTCCGAAGGTCCTCCAGTGTGCTCTGAGGGATCTAAACAAACTTCTGCCACAATGAATGAACGATGGAAGTACCAACCTTGGCGTCTAGCAGTAATGCATGGCGAACGATAATCTCGGGATCCAGACCGCGATAGACCAATGAAGATCTCGTTGCAACTCCTCCCCGAGGAACAGGAGGAGAAATGTCACACAAGGCAGTGCCCCAGCCGGAAGATCCTAGAGTGTACCTGTGTACCTGATACAGAAGAGATTAGGTTGGAAACCGTGACCAGAGTAGAAGCACTTGGAGGAGCTTCTTTTTCCTGGTAGTCGCCGGAGGGGAGAAAGCGTCACGAAATTCATCGTAAATGTCGTGACCACCCGCTGAGTTGGACGAGGTTCCGCCTATGTCGTTGAGAACCTAAATAACAGCATGAGCGTGTTGATAACTATGATACATACCCGATGTATTCCAGAGAAAGTCTTCTCCTTGAGGAACCTCTTAGAGGAAAGCGACATAATGGCGAGGGACAGTAGCAGCAAACTCCTCGGGAAGCCCAGATGCGGTGGTAGTGGCGGACTAGACGCGAACAAGTAATCCCAAAGCCTCAAGACCTGAGGAGCAGTCCAGTAGAGGGCAATTTGACCAGTTGAGAGAGCTCACAGTAGTAAGAGGTAAACTGTAAGCGAACAGTGTCATGAACCACTTCGTAGCGTACATATCTGTTACATCGATGATGATGCCCTCGGCTTCGCTGACACTCCGGAAGTGACTGAGAAGACATGTGGGTGGTTGAGGAGCTGATCGTACTTGTTCAGATGGGGGAGCTGCGTTTCTAAAAGTCGAGTAAATGTGTATTTCAGTAAGGATAATAGTGCCTTATCAACGGTGAAGAGCGGAGCTAGATTGTGTCTGTGCATGAGCAGGCACAGTAGCCAGAAAGTATCATCCTGAAAGCACACAGAACATGTTCGGCTGAGTGCAGCTGAGAGTTGGACCTCTGAGTGAGTCACTTGCAGTAACATACCGCTGACGAAATTCATTCCTTGACAGTAGCCAACGTAGGAGTTACTTGCTGCGAAGGTGTAGATCACCCGGCCGAGCCTGGAGGGAGGGGGGGGGGAGGTTATTGATAGTCGTCGGAGGAATTGAAGGTTACGCGTCCAGGTTGCTGTCCTTATTGAAGTAGTCAGATCCAGGGAAGGTCCGGCGGAGATCTCGATGGAGTTCGGCAGCGATTGAGGGATATCTGAGGTTCACACCTACAGGATTCGAAGTAGGTTTAGTGGAGACCCTCACACAGCAAGTCTGGTGTGACTACTAGCCACACTCGGGCTAGGCTGTTGATCTGATGACTGCCGATTGTTCGATGGTGAATCTAGTCCCTCATCTGTTGCTGCTTTCTGACGGGCTGATTTCGAAGGGGGTGTATGCAGGAGCTTTCCCGACGTCGGCTCCAAAGTGGAGGACCAGGCCACCTTATCGCCACGTAGACCTACTCCATACTAACAGAGGATTGATCTTAGCCGACTGACCAGTGCATAGCTTCTCGTAAGTCCCTGGTCTGAGTTGTTCTCGCCAACCCATCACAGCTCGCCAGCACAATGCGCGGAACCGAGGGGGAGCACCAATACGAGCGAGCAGTGATCTGGGCCGCTCGCACTGTTTCAAGCGGATTTAAGGGGACTGACCGGAAGCCGTTGGGATCTCCGTTGTAGGAATAGGTGAAATCGCCATCTTTAAGAAGTTTGAACCATCGAGCTAGTCTTTCTTTGTCAGCGCTCTCAGAAGTCGACAACGCTTGGATGAACTCTTGGACAGTCATTTCGTATCTAGCCTAATTCATCAACTTTCACTGTAGACAAATTTCACATCTACTCACAGAAATTGCCGTCTCTTTCTGCTATCCGCTTGACTGCCCTCGATGGCTGCTCGATCAGCACTTGGCGAGGGCCGGTGTGGGTCATCCTCCCCGGTGATTACGTGGATCGCTCGATCTGAAAGAGTTTAACTGCTCCCTGAATTGAAGTTCGTGTTGGGGTCATACCCTGTCTGATTTGATGGGGTGATTCTGTTGATGCGGCGGCGGTGTGGTACCGATATTTGGAAAAGCCACATCCCATAGACGATTAATTTGACAAGGAACGTAAATACGTAGTAATGTACTGCAATAAAGGTCCAACAGTAATCGATGATCACTCTTTCTACGAAGAACTATCCTCTCTAATCCTACTTGAACACCCCACGAGAGTCCCCCACTATAGACGCTAAGCA